TGCACCACACAGAGAAATGCACAAGGCTGGCCAGGAAAGGCAAAGACATTATTCTTGTTATTGCAGATTGCTATTTCAGTAGGTTAGTATAAAAAGCAAATTGAATTAGTTTATGATATGGACATCTGTCAATCTTTATGACAAAGCTAGAGAAGCAAAGCCTAAAATATGCCCTTTTTTTTGAAAAGAAATATTCAGGTAGATTGTATGGCAGAAACATGCTTAAGTCTGCTACTGAATGACATAATGCCTTGACAGAAAGAGGAAAAGTAGGAAATCTTGTGTGTTATTGAACTATCATTTGCATGATTTGCACAGGTTCCTCACTAAGGGCTATGGACTATGATTGATGAGCATATTTGACCAGTTTTATGTGCTTTAGGCAAATGGTAGCTTCGAGCTTCTGGATGAAGTGAGGGAGCTGAAAAAAATCCCTTGAATCAGAACAAGTAGTATAGCAAAGAACTTATTTTAATGTATCAAAATAAATGAATCTATCCTTTAATATTCCTTTAAAAAGGAAAAATAATTTTTGAATCTAGGCATATGTAGAAAAGGGAGGCAGGGAACGGGGAAGAAAGGCTGAGAGAGTCTGTGAGAAGAAATCTGAGGTAAGTTGTAGCTTTTTCACAGCATCAAGTATCCTGCATTTCACAGGCTTAAAACACATTTAAATACAACAGAAGCAACAGTATTGGTGGAATAATTGCCCTTATAGCAATTTACAGAGCTTTCCTGTTTTGTTAAAAATGATAATCTTTCAGAAAATAAAATAGTTTGAATATATCTTTGTGTCAACCCTTCAGCAAAGAGTGCCTGGATGAACCAGCATGTTATGGAACCTATGAATTCCTTCCTTAGGCCTTTAGCTGTAGAGGGATGAGTTTCTTGTACCCCTGATTTAACTCCTGCTGCTGCAGGAGTAAAAAATGCTTTTTTTTGTTTTGTTTTGTTTTAAGACAGTTACATCTTTGAGAACTGGGTAATAACAATTATGCATTCATTTAACGTTTTTTTGATCCTTTCAAAGCACTTCAGAAATAACTTAGCAACACAACTATGCATATATTCCAATAACTATGCTCTAATATGCAGGATAAATTAATATGTTTCATAATTTACAGACAAATGGGTCAAGTTTCTGAAGACTTGTAATGGTTCTCTAAACCTGATGGTATTGCTAAAAACAATTATTTATTGCTTCCGCTTTCAACTAGTATGGAGCATGACCTCTGTGGCTTTAGAAAAAAAAAGAGATAAGTGAACAGTTTTATAAATAACTTAATATCTGTGGCATTTTTGCATTTGAAGCTGTTGCAGTGTCCTGTAGGAAATCATAAAGAATTTAAGCTCAAGTTATAATGCTCTTCCAGCAGCAGTAACGAATTCTACATATCCTTTTGCTTTTTATTTCGTGGAGCTAAAATAAGACTCACTTCCAGAGATCATTTTATTCTGTGAATATATTTTTCTTTAAAGTTAATGGATTTAAGAGTTGGTAAACTAATAACATTCCAGGTTAGAGCCCTAGAGATATTTTACTGGGAATGTCCTGATTCCGTTTTTCCTGGAATCAAATTTAAAACCTAGTGGCATAGATGAGAAAAGTTTGATTGCTAACAATGCTCTGATTTGTTGTGAAAAGCAATTTTTTTGCTATGAAATTTGTTCTTAAGGGAAGCTGAGACAAAAAAAAAGCAATTTAGCTTGGCTAAGTACATTTGTCAATGCTCTTAAGTGTACTAGTTACGCTGGAGGTTTTATCACTGTAAAGATGTCTGCATTCTGTGTTTTTTGGAAGTGTTTTTGAAAATGCTTTATATGCTATATTTTATACAGAAATTTCAAAGTTTAGACAACAGAAACATGTTCTGTTATGGATCTGATTAATAATAACACTTGGAATAGTAATTTTGTTTTGTTGCAGTGTTACATATGCATCCTTAATATTTTTCTGCAGAAATCTTTTGCTTCTTGTAGATAAAATGTATTTTTAAAGCATTTCATAACTGTCTGCAAATTTATTTCAAATGTGAATGAAGAAAATTAAAAGACTTCTGTTTACTTTCGAAGCATTTGAATAATCTCAGAAATTTCTACCTATGTACAGTTGTGCTCTTGACTTTACTGGCAGCTCTGCTTAAGACTCAATTTAGATGTAAACTTTTGTGCTTTATAATACATATTTTTTCAAAATTCTATTTGAATTGCAATATTTTAGCCCTCTGATTTTGTTAAAAGTGGATAGAAATAAGTAACACCTGTTTTCTATATAATTTTATTGAAGAAAAGTTAAGAACAAGGGTACAAAAGCTCTTTTATGTGCTTTGTTCTTCACTGCTGCATTTTATTAATAGTGTGATGTAATCCCAATTCCAGGCAGTGCACAGATTACTTCAGGAGGACACGTAGAATACAGAACTGTATCTGGAATTCACTACATGGCATGGTACCATTTTGTTGCCCTTATCTGGACTAGTGAATTCATTCTTGCTTGTCAGCAAATGACGATTGCTGGAGCAGTGGTTACCTGTTACTTCAACAGGTAAGAATTACTCCAAGTAGGCTTTTCGCACATTTTCCAGCTTTTACTTTCAATCTCTTTCTAGGAAAAGTACAATTAAATAGATTCCAACTTAGGCCAATATCTTGGAATTCAGTATAACCTAAAGTAATGTTGCTTTTTGTAAGATCTTAGGTAAGGTTGGGGGAGATTTAATTTTAATAATATACCGGGGGGTTGTTTTTGTGAGTTTTCTTTTTTTTTCTTTTTTCTTTTTTTTTTTTTTTGACAGTGAAGAGAGCTGTATCTTGAAAACATTGTTGCTCTTAACCTCATTGCTGTGTTTCTTTACTGCACTTCATATAATGAGACTTTCTGGTCTATGAAAATTCTGGCTTTTGAGTAATTTCTTAATTTTGTATTAGAGGAATATGATGCTAATTTCTATTGTTTGGAAGACCAGTCTCTAAGGCAAGTTGCTTGAGAGCGACTCAGGCGAGCTGCCTCAGAGCCTGAGAGCTTGGCAAGGGAGCACCTGGGGAGCCTGAAATCATTTTGCGCAGATACTTTTAAGTCCTTCTCTTGCCTGCCAGGTGACATGTGCTGTGTTGGAAGTTGTTCTTGGGAAGGGAAATGTCGTATTTCTGTGGTGATGACCCCTCTTCCTGGCCTTTAGGCTGCCAGCACAGACCGCTAGAGCCACCAGAGCAGTGAAGAAAGGAGAGGCCAGTGAACAGGCAGAGCAGCTGCATCATTAAGGACAGGGGTTATCTCAAGCTGTTCCAGCAATTCTAAGCTTGTTGCTAGGTCAGTGTCATACAGACATGTCACAAAAGTTTGTTTATTATACCTCACACAAAGACTTTCTTATTGGCTACTCAATGCTCCGAGGAAATGGCCTGGCTCTTCCCTGTGGAAATTGCCTTCCCCAGTGCACGCAGCGACGTGCTGCATGGCCAAGAGCCACAAGTGCAGCTAGCAATAGGGAGGCTTGGGAGTTGTTCTGACAGGATTAGCTTTACAGGTGACATTTTTGGGCTTTAGCACTGCCACTGAAAACAGATTTTGCCTTTTTTAAATTTCAGGTTAAACATAAATATTCATTAATTTAATTAAATAAAAGTTATGTAATGGTTATTTTTTTGACTTGTGACGCCCACTCAGTCTTTAAGAAATCCTCTGTTGTGTTGCTGTTTTACGAAGAGGTTTATTTTCACCTTCATGTGTTTAGGGGTTAAGTGTGTATTTGCCTTTTCAGTGAGATGGAGTTTGCATCTCTCTGGGATTAAAGGAAGGTGGTTTGGTAAATTGACTCATGTTACAGGGATTACAGTCTTATTCATGCTGAAGTTTATTCAATAGCTAATTTATATGCATCCTCTCCATGCTATGATTCTAAGTATAATTATTTGCATGTTTATGCTTTTGTAGGGCGGGAGATCTGTGCTTCTGTTCTGCAAACACTTCTGCACAGGCTTGAGATTAAACATGTGTACAAGTGTTTCCAGGATTAGGGCTTTGAAGCTGACTCGAAGGTGCTCAGCAACACAACTTCCACTGGCTTCAGAGGGCGTTGAAATCCCACAGAATTTACTGACATACAACTCCCAGAAAAACACAATCTAAGTTTATGAATCTGAACCAAAGTCATTAAGAGAGGAACTAGGATCATATTTTTGAAGGCTTCCTTCCCATTTCAAATACAGCTGTTGTATTTATGAGCATCCTTTGCCCTACTCACATACTTGGCCTAGCTCTTGCAAAAGGGTCCTGCCTCGTGTGTAGTGGGGCCGATGCCCTGTGCTTTGGAGCGCAGCTAAGAGGGCAATTGAAAGCACAGTCCTTGGGTTGATTGGGGAAGATCTCTGTTACTACAGCTGTTGTTTAAAAACAGATACTTATTTAAGAAATATATTGTTAATTCATTAACAATTTTTAAAAAGTAATTCTATACTAAACCACTTGATCTCATTTTAAACAGTCTTTGAAAAAGGTGAGATGGGACTCAAGGAAACTATATGCACTGCTTTGGAAAAAAAGAATAGGCTTTTAAAAAATGCTTTTTTTTACTTCCAATTATCTAAGTCTTTTGGGCCTTCTAGTTTGAATTTTTTCTTCACAAAAAAAAACAAGAGGTGGTTTTAAAATGAAAGGTGAGACTCATGTGTGATCACTTGATTCAAGAAACCTGGTATTGAGAAATATATCAAATATCACAGAGTTCACAATAAAATAAAGACAGTTGGCAGCACTAAAGAAATAAGATAGTTAAAAGATGATGTGGTATTGGGTACAGCTGCACAGGAGCTTGGACTAGGGGTGTTCCGTGTAAATCGAGCCAGCCTGTGGTAACATGGAGTACCAAGGGAAAGTGAAGCTGTGGCCCTGAGCAGTTGTGCAGCCAGCTCTGTTCAGGCAGCTCCCTGGTGTTCCCCGGTACCTTGTTGTGCACACCGCAGCACCGCGGGCACCGGAGCCTCCGAGCACAGAACTCATTGCACAGGATGAACCGTCTCCGAAAGCTCCGAAAAGCGTTTCAGGGTTGCAGCCATGCTGTGTATAAAGCTGAGCGAAGCCTCAGCCGCGAGGGCCGTTTGGGTAATTGGGTGGGTGACTGAGCCCATGTTGAGCTTGTGGGGAGCAGCGAGCACTCGCCGTCACCGCGGTCGGGTAGCTGCTCCCCTGCGCGCCCCGTGAGCCAGCTTTGTTCTTTTGGGAGCGGTTTCAAAGCAAAACAACAAGCAACCTTGTCAGAGCCTGTTCCAGTGCAAATTCCTTTGTTCAGACAAGGTTTGGAAAAGCTTCCAAATGTGTTTAAATTTATCTAAACCAAACTTCAGATCGTGTGATTCCTGCTCATTAATCAGTCCTGATAAAAAAAAAAAAAACAACATCTTTCTTCATTTTTCTCTTCAACAGTAAGTAAATTATTAACACAAGAGTAAACTTTGTGCTTTCTGTTTTTCTTATGCTTGGTTAAAATTTAACTTCAGATTTTATATTCTGCGATCTGATGGAGACTGTCATATGTAAGATGTTCCTATAAAAGGAAAGGGAGCAATGATACTGTAGGGGTGGAAAGCTCATGTATTTTGAGCTGTATGTGTTTCTAACAGAGAAACTTGAAGTCCTTAAGAAAGGCTTATTCAGTAGAAAATTCCGATATCCCCCAAGCTGTTCCTGAAGTTGTAAGACCAAAAATAATAAATGCAGCAACTGCTTTGCTGGAATTTCCTATTTAAAATAATGTGGCATATTCACATATTTAAATTTAACTTTTCAGATACAAAGTAGCTAGCATTTTGAAAGGACTGCAGTGAAACCTGCAGGACTCTTGCAGAACTGTGTTATCTTGACATAATGGGTACAATTTAAATCCTTGTTGGGATGAGAATTTAATAAAAATATATTTATAGATGTTTTTAACCCCACCAGTCACTCTCTTTCCTCTCTTCCTGTTTATTTTTTAGTTTATTCTGTAAACTATTTTTTTTGAGATAACAGATTTTGAGAGTGGCTTATAGAAGTTGAACATCTTATTTGTGATTTAAAGTCTGATTTTAACAGTTTATTTAAACAGCAGTTGGTTCTGTTGCCTGTGTAATTATTCCTATTGTTTAAGGGTCACCTTAATAAGGATGATTTATGAATATTAATCAGTATTTTTGAATCCTATAAAAATTAATTTTAGGTGTTTATAGTGTTTATCTGATTTTTTGGTGTTTATACAGGGATAAGGAAATGGCTTTAAGTTCTTTTCTTGGTTTTCATATAAATTCTTTAAAGCTGTGTCATGCTCTTCATAGATCATAGAATTCTTAAGGTTGGAAGGGACCTCTAGAGATCACCTAGTCCATCTTCTCAGCAAAGGATTCACTTTAAACTGACCATAATAAAAATCAAGAAAATAAAAGCTGCATTTATGCCAATTATTCCCTGGTTATCTTTTTTTTCTTTCTTTTTTTCATCTTTCCATTTCAGTTTTGGAATACATATTACTACCTCCAAGCAATACAGGTTAACATGCAGTAGCATTACACTTCTTTATAGCTTTTCAATATATAGTGTGAAATTCTTGCCTTGTGTGTTCCATTTAAAACAAAACCTGCTCAGTGATAAGAAATATATATTAACCTGAGCAAATTTTAAAAAACAATTTAGCCAAGCTGTGACAAATCTGTGACAGTAGATCAGCTTTGTAGATGTATTTTTTGATTTTAGTTTTATCACTGAAGCAGAAATAGTGAATTCATTCCTTCAGACTGAACTCTTGCTGAAACAACTGTCAAATAAAAGATTGCAGAGGGAAAAAGAAAGGAACAAAATGGAGAGAAGTGTTCATGGAAGTATTATTCTCAGATATGATTCACTTCTGATATTTTCCATACAAGTTTTTTCTAGATATTTCTCCATAACTGAATAAATCGAAACACTCATCGCTTAAGAATTAAATTAATCTAATAAAAGTTTTAATCTTGGCTACTTTCATTTGGACTAGA